TGAGTCCCCGGGGCCGGGGGACATTGGCTTCCGCCAACAGTGAACTATTAAGGATCGCATCCCGCGCATATTCTACATTATAGCCTGCAACTGATTCAGCTTCTGCTTCTGGGAGATCAAACGGAGCTCGATTAGTTTCTGCTAGACAAGAAATAAAGAACATAACCAATACAGGGAACAAGGGAATACCAGACCATATCTGCTTTTGCGCCATGACAATCTCACTCGAATTACGGGGACCTACACATATTAGTACAGTATACCGGGGTCCCCGGCCAGAACCACACGTGCAAGTTTCCCTGCATGTGGCTCGTCCGTGCTTTCTTGAAGAAAGAGGCTGGGCTGGAGTGCTTTTATCAAATGATGCGTGTGGGCTGAGCCATTCCCATCCCAAGCGGTGGCCCAATTCGGCCTGGCCCGGTCGGGAAGAGATTCACATAGAGACTACTGCTATCTGGGAATATCTTTCTATGTTAGCTAGTGGGGGCGGGCTTTCCTATGGTAGTCCCGCTGCGGCCTTTGACCGTCCATCCCGTCTCATCTTGATTTGGCTATACTTGTATGTAGACAGCCATGTTAGCTCCACATGAGAGCCTTTTTCTAAAGGCAAAAAAGGCACTCATCAGTTAGCTCGGCCCCTTTCCTATTTTGCTTTGCCGCCTATTCTCTTAATAGGTCCCGAAAAAGCTGCCCGCCCTTCTTCATCTATACCAGCTGCCACGCACGAACCAATAGAAAGGATTTCAGCGCTCCTCTCTATCTCTAGATAAGAAGCAGAACGCGCTATCACCTACAGCCCTTTGCTCTGCCGGGGACTTCCACGAAATGAAAACGGGCGGCATCGTCGTATGCTCCACTTTTGTTGCCCTGGTTTATATCCCGGAGTCTTCCTATGGCCGATCTGTCATCCAACCTACTTAAACAACCTAAAGCACTTCTCTGAAAGCATGGTTCTTGCCTCCCTTTGAGCTCGTCCATTCGTTGGGCGATCCCTTGCTCTCACGTTCGAGTGTTTGCTCGTCGTTTAGGCCCGTGAGTGAGATTTCTGCTCATTGCAGTCACCTCCGGGGTTCTTCGCACTTGGATAGTACCAGGACCCTTGTGCCCCGGCCCTTGATCAGATAAAGCTGCCCGCCCTATGACCCACAACTCAAAATGAGCCTTGCGACGAGACGCGGACATTCCCCATGCTGCGGTTCCCTCCGGTCCCTTCCCGGGTTGGGTTAGGGGAACATCCGAGCGATTGCCTTCGCGGATCCAAACGCGCTCACAAGGCGCACAATAAGAATAAGACCAATAGAAACTTCATAAGGTACCATTTGAGCTGCAGATCGTAATGCTCCTAGAAAGGCATATTTCGAATATAGAGGAGTGAAAGTTCCCAACAATCAAGTAATTGATTATATCCTTCTATGAACCGTACGAGCACGTCCTCTGTCACCCCCCCACCGCGCTTACGGCTCTATACCCCAACCCAACTTGCTCTGGCCCCCGGTCCTTCCTTTCTATTCCTCGGTAAGCGGACCGTGGGAGCATGGGGGGGCGGTATCTGCTTTTGACTGAAAGAAAGCTCGCTCATAACAGAACTCGCCAAAAAAAATCACAATAGAAAAATTCTTGCCGGGAGAGTAGCGTCGGAGATATCTTTATCTGAGGAGGAGGCTTCGTCGCCCGGCTCCTCATAAATGATGTTAGGATTGACCGGGGCTCATCCTCGGAATCCGAAAATAAAACAGAACGGAATCAGTAACATATCTAATCAGACTGAATAGGATTTGAAGAGCTGTCACGTTACGATCATTCACATAAATTTCAGCAGGCAGTAAGGGCGCGGAAGCTACCGTTTCTAGAATGTAACAAGCAAGCTAGCTTGGCTTGCTTACTCTCCTAGTAGCGTACGTTGGCGGCAAGGAAGGAGGCAAAAACAAACTAGACTATACTAAAGTAAAGAGGCATTCGGGAAGTGACTAGTCGCTTCTGGCGAAGCTTCTATAAGGCCGACCACTACATAGAGAGATCCCATATACCAGTCATGAGCGATAGCGAAGCCTAGAGAGGCGGAAGCAGTAGCTTCTAGGATGAAGCCGAGCCGATACGATAGGCGGGCGAAGGGCTAAGCTACTAATGTCGTGGCGAAGGAGGTCTACTATACGTATACTGGATTTGTAAGTGGTGAAATAAAAAAAACGAAAAAGAATTTCAGTAAACTATTGAAGCTATCAGTGTGATTGATCAGACAAGTATCAAAGGCTTTCGGTAGACTTCTTTCATTTCCGAATTAGCTTGCGACAAGTCCTAGCATTAGTATGAGTTCGCTGACCGCGTACGGGCGATCCGTCTTGATGACGAATTCCACGATAACAAGAAATAGAAATTAATCGTTCGATGTCTGCTCGTTCTCCCCTCTTCAATTCCCAATGAACAACATGATCTTGACCTATCATTTGTTCAATTTGATCGATCTGATACTTAGTTAATTCTTTTATCTTTATGTTCCCACTGATACCTAATCGATAACGAACCTGAATGGCTTTTTTGGGTCCAATTCCATCAATTTTGGTTGAGGCAATTCTTACTTGTTCATCGGCAACTAATCTAGCTCCTGAAATATATAACATGATTGATTCGTCTAAAATGATTCCCTTCAGACAGACAGAAAGCCTGTAAGAGTAGTCAATAAAGTGAATTTTTCTTGGTTGTTGACCAAGGGAAGAAGATTCAAAATAGGACCTCTTCCTGTTTTTCTACTATACAGCTACGCTACGATCTTTCTTCTCTTATTCAATTTCTGGTGAGGAATCGAATATCGAATTAAGGCTTCACGGAAGACCTTAATTCTCTTACGGTACACTTTACTTCACTATATTCTACTCGAAAACTTTTCAAAGAGAGAGAGACGCCCGCGCTAGGCATCTGATCTTTTATTTCCTGTGCTAAACACATATCCAGTTGCCATTTGTCCGTAGGATTATGGCCTGGACTGAAAGGCGCCTTTCCAGCGCCAGCTTCAGATGTAACAATAGCAGGACTCTTTTTTCCCTAGATGATTCAGTGATAGAATAAGTATCCTATAACTGAAGCCGACTCCGCGGCAGAAGTTTGATCATCGACAGCATCGCATTTGATTCAATCGACGCCTTACTTAATAAGTTGATCTTTATTTACCATCCGGTGGTCTGTGGCTACGAGCAATTCCTTATTCTCACAGAAGAGAGAGAAATTCTCATTGAATAGGAAGACTGCCGGCTACCCCAACTTCTTGTTATATGATTCAGATGAACAGCCAGAGGAAGCAAGAATCTCATTCTACGTAGTCGTGAGCCAATCACTTATTGGTTGTTTTGATATTGATCATTGAGCAAGGCCCGGCCTGACTTAGGCTGTGACCCTTCCTATTGAAAGGGACGGAAATCCGAAGAGAGTCGTTTACACTCAGTGAGTAGGAATTGTGGTCCTATTTCCCAGTAGCTTGAGTCGGGGAGCCCCCTTGGGACTATATGAATGACTCGTACGACATTCCTAGGAACCTGAATTTCTATATGAAATGTGGCTTGACCTATTAGTGCAGGTTACCCGATCTAATGAGAAAAGGTTCGAAAGGCGCCGTGCGTTCTGTCCTTTACCATTTTAAGGCACAAGCAAGCAGTCCCTCTTTATTAGGTAAATAAATAGGACTCTTCCAGGCAGTGATTAGATTACGCTTTCCAAGCAGTGGTTTTCCCTAGAATGGAAGCTTCCATTTCCGATGCTTTGAAAGGTATGTGTTTCCCCACCCCATCGCTTTCTACCTTCAACATCTAACTCGTGTTAAAAGGCATCATTTAGGCCATCTAAACGAAACTTTCTTTTGAGAGCACCCAGTCCAGTCTTTAAATCATAAAATGAAATCAATAATTCAACTTGAACCAATGAATTCTAGGGTTTAGCATCTATAAGTCTTTCCATCGAAGTATTCAACTCTTAAGCCACTGACAAAGCCTTAGTAGTCGTCTCCGTCTTCAACTCAAGATGGGAGCAATAGTCCTGACTCCGAAGCTGCTGTGGTACCTGCTTGTCCTGTAAGGGAGGCCTATACGAATGTTCAGTCTGTCTAAAATTCATACTAGGAATGGAGACCTATAGCTAGGGAACCACTCACGACCTTTTGAAGGAAGGCTATTGGGGTGATTAGCTGGCCTTTGAACACTTCAGGCCTGCTTATATAGTAAGGGGCGGATAATTGACAGGGGCCTAAAGCAAAGTGAAAGCAGTAGATGAATAAAAGTAGTAATGACCAATAGCATACGGTCTTCATGCAGCCTTCTTTCTTATTTAGTAGGGGGGATCAAATGGTATCTGCCTGTGTACTTTGAGGCTGTCTTTCCCTGGAACAAGGAGTCAAAAGGGGGGGCCCTTCGAAGATCAATAGTCGTTAAGTGAGCCGCCCAACGACTGGTGCCAAGGAATGAATTCGGTTAGACTACGGGAATCGACGATCTTAGATCCCGGTCGTCCGTCTTTACTTTATATGTAGTAGATGTATGTCTTCTTTCTGCTTCCAAAACGCACTCAGTGACTCCTTGGCAATTCCGAAGAAAAAGCATGATGTCTAACGCACTTCAAAGGATCCTAGACGAATACAAAGTAGGAAATCCGGTGCGTCATTTTCCCAATATGAGAGAAAGATTCGGCTGACTGCCTATCTTCTTTGGTTTTCTCTACTTTGCCCTACTCGATTTCTATTGAGAAAGTCGCCGAACTAGGACTGACTTTATATATTAGTAATATTATATAACTTTCCCTTGGGAATTAAGTGGAAGTTTTCTTCTCCGTCACCTTTCGTTAAAAGGGCTTGCGGCTCATCTTCTTTCTTTCTTGACTCGCTTCCACTCCTTTCTACTACTCCACTCGCTCGGCCAAATCGATCGGTAATGACAGCTCTTGATGTAATCCAATCCGGCCAAATGAAGCTTGTTTTTCAAGTTAGTTCCTTGCAATTAAACCTAACAAGACTAAACAATCACGCTCTGTAGGAATTGAACCTACGACATCGGGTTTTGGAGACCCACGTTCTACCGAACTGAACTAAGAGCGCTAGGAAGTTGTCTAGACTGTGATAAGAAAAGGAAATTTCCGCCCCTAAGAGAATAGAGTGAATGGATAAGGAATTTGGAACCGATAACAAAAAGAGGGATAGGTAAATAGTTGGGGAGTCAAATAGTCTATTTGGGGATAGAGGGGCTTGAACCCCCACGATTTTAAAAGTCGACGGCAAGGAACGAAGCGGAGCGAAGTGAAGCTATTAGATAAGATAATCTATTTATAGAATACAGGCTGAGACCTTATGTCCGTCCATGACCTCCAACTGAATGGGGCGAACTCCCCCTGT